ATGAGTGAAATTACCGAAATAAAAAAATAAATAAATGGGATGTAGCACAAAATGTGAAAACAGGAAAATACCGCCTTGTAATCCACTTATTTCAGCAAAGTAACTGTAATCCAATTACCACTCATTGAAACAGTAACTGTAACGGAATACAGTTACTCATAATTTGTACTCTGCGGTACATGTAATCCATTACTCCCCAACACTGTGTATATATATTTGTATATATATATATATATATATATATATATATATATATATATGTGTGTGTGTGTGTGTGTGTGTGTGTGTGTGCATATATATATAATATATTATATAATATATTATATATATATATATATATATATATATATATATATATATATATATATATATATATTCGGGCCGGGCACGTTAACGCGTTAAAGGTTGTATAGAGGATTTTCCAAGGAATGAGAAATCCAGCGACTGTCGTTTTTCAAATGTTGCGCATGCGTGAAACCACCCCCCTCCCCCACAGCCCCCTATGTAGAAACGCCTCCTCCCGCCTCCTCCTTACGCCAGAAACAGGTTTGTTTCTAAAAAACAAGTACTCATCGCTGCAAATGACTTGTAAACAACTAACTACAGTGTTGGTTAGGCAAGGTGGAGAAGTGAGGAGCAGGGGGTAGAGTGGAGCGGGGAGCGGAGAGAGGAGAGGGGAGCGGTGCGCGGAGATTCCGTGCGCGGAGAAGAAGTGAGGAGCAGGGAGAAGAGCGGAGCGGCGAGCGGAGAGAGGAGAGGGGAGCGGTGCAGAGAGGGGTGCGTGGAGATTCCGTGTGAATGAACTAGCTACAACACGCAGCAGCAAGCGGGCTCTTTCTTTGCATTGAAAATTACGTTTTCAGACATAGGATATCGCATTTGTGTCCTGAAAAACGTTTGTCTAGCTCTTGGAAATAAAGTACGTTTTCCTAATAAGCAGAAGTGACCAGTCCAGAAGTAATTTGGCGACCAATGCATCAGTCTTTAGACCCTTCGTCTGCTTCAGTTGCGCCATCGCTGGAATGAATCTCCAAGAATCACCTTAGTTTGGCTTCGCTGCTTTTCCCCTTGTCTTCTTCTTTCAGCGATCTCAAAAACTGACTTTCTTTTGTGGCGAACTGCTCGTAGATTCCTGTCTGCCATTGCAACAAACTTTGTGCTAACTGCGAGGAAGACATAGGCCAAAAAAAAACGCTAAGAACTGTTGCGTTTTGTAAACAGCGTCTATGCGTCTTGCGTCTGTGGACTGCGTGACAGGCGTACGTAAACCACGTAATGGCAGCGTGCAGGCAAGTCAGTTACGCTAGAAATGTAGGGAGTTTGACTGACAGCCTGTCAGCTAACAGATAACAAGGCAGTCTTGTTATCTATTGGCAAATGTTTAGCTGGCCCCACCACGTCCAGAGTTGATGAATTTTTATTCTCTTTTTTTTGGTCATCATAATTACAAGCCTACTGCATCTCTATAATGCTATCATTGACAATTTGAAACAAAAAAATCCTCCATACAACTTTTAACTTTGCGTTAACTAATTAAGCCATTAACGCCGACAATTATTTTAACGCCGTCAACGCAGTTTTTATTATTTATTTATTTCATTGTAAACGCCTGTTTCTCACTGGCTTTTATTTTGAAAAAGTCCACCGCGAGCGTTTCTTTAAGTTTGACGTCTTTTCTTGACACTTTTTTCACTTTTTTCTGACCACGTGAGATGCAACGTGCCCGAGCCTCCGCGAGCCGCGGGTTCGGCCGCGGGCTCCGACTCCCTTCGCGGCTCCGGCCGCGGGCACCGGCTCTGGCCGGACCAGCCGTGCGCTCTGAGCTGAGCTTATTTCTTTAGTTCAGTGCTGGAGTAACTGATTTACCCAGATACCATTGGAAGAAAATATGTGATTGGTCCATTTCCATTCCATTATATTAACCCTTGTTTCCTAAGAAATATCAGTCCAAGTTTATAACACTGATCTAGAAATTATTACAGTGTTCATTACTCACAGCATAAAAAAATATTAAATAAATGTATTAGTACAAACGTCCATTCAATATTTTTTCTTGAGCCTTCCCTGAATACCTTGAAGGCTCTCTCAACAAATGTATGGCTCTTTCATTTACATTTCCAATAAAAGAGCGCTATACTCTACTTTTTAATTCATTAATTGGCTGGTTTTGCGTAGAACATGCGATTAATCGCGATTAATCGCTCGAACTCATGTGATTAAATTTTATTTTTGCCCAGCCCTAATATATATATGTATATATATATGTGTGTGTGTGTGTGTGTGTATATATATATATATATATATATATATATACACACACACACACACACACATATACTTATATTGTAACGGTCAGTATTACATTTATATTATTATTGATACTGTAATACTTGATTGCGCCATCAGGTGGCGCTCCTTTTATTTTCTATTATACTGTAAGTCACAGGTCACGGGTCACTCGCTTGTTGCGATGCTCTGTAATGTAATGGACACACACCTCTGTGCTCTACAACTCAAGTAATGTGCGGTACCGGTGTTAAACGGACTATTTCCTATTTCATGTATGATTCAGACTTAGCGCCGTGGAGACCTGGCATAGTATGGTTTCTAAATGTGTAATAAACCAAGTATCAGTGGAAATCAGTAAGTCTCGCTCTTCTCTCAGCTATCCCAGAGCACATGTTAAGGGCTATAGCTAGCGCTCTCCGCCGGATCACTACCACACGTTACAATATACATACATACTTACATACATACATATACACACAAGGTACATATAGAATGATGATTTTCTACATCACAGCGTGGTCTACTAAAAGCACTTTGTTCATTAAATTATTTGATTCATGTATTTTTTTAATTCAGATATGTACTATTAACACTGTTGGGCAAGTTACTTTAAAACTGTAATGCGTTATTTATTAATTATTACTGTCATTTCAAAGTAATTCATTACATTACAATATTACTGCATTTAAAATGTAAGGCATTACATTACTATTGCATTACTTTAAAGTTACTCTCACCAAAATAACTGCGAAAAAGCTGAACTTTTGAGCCGTATATGGACTGAACCAGGACTAAACAAGGTCTAAACCAGGACTAAACCAGAGCTGAACCAGGACTAAACCAGGACTATAACAGGACTAACCTCAGACTGATTCCAGGACTGAAGAGGAGGACTAAACCAGAACTGAACTAGGACTAAAACAGGACTCACTGTCGGGACGGGCTCGAAGGTGACCGCAAGAGAAAGGACCGGCTTTGCTCCGCACCTCATGGAGGTAAGAGCTGCTGTCCCCCGATCGCGCTTTATGGACACCCTGCTGCGCGGGCTCACGGTCCTGATTTCAGCAACTATTTGCGGGTACAAGACCCGGTGCAAAACTCTGCTACAGCGCGTAACTTCTACCTTCCTTCAACGTGTCCAGAAGTCCAACTTTTTGTGCGATGGTTTGCATCGTCCTCTGTCTTTTGGGTGTGAGCGCAGGAGACTTTGTCGGTGCAGAACGTTTCGTCGACGTTGTGGATTTTGTCGGAGAGAAAACTTGCAGACATACAGCACTTCAGAATCACGCTGCTAGAGATTGAACATTTATTTAAATTTGGCAGCTGAACATATTCTGTAATGTACTGTACAGTAGACAGGAGTCCCTTAGCCGATCAGGACACAGCGGGAGGAACGCAATACGTGTTCATACACTAAAAACAAAAGGCATGCAAAATTGCACAAAAAAAAAAATTCTAAGAAACAGCGAGACCGCGAAAAGTGAATCGCGTTAGAGCGAGGGACGACTGTAAGCCAGGTCTAAACCAGAAGTGACCCAGGTCTAAACCAGGTCTAAACAGCGTAGAGTTCTGGGTCGGTCCTTTCACCCGCGGTTAACTGAAGGTTTATCCGGCCGCGTCTCCGGCGTTTCACCGCTGCTGATTTCACGGTGATTTTAGCGAATTTCTATGAAGAAAAACCCACCACTTCAATCCAGGTTAAAAAAGCATTGTAACGCGCGTTACTCACATTTGTACCGAGTAAAATATTACAATTTTTCCCCCTGTAATGCCTTACATTACTGCGTTACAGCAAAAATCAACGCATTACTGTAATACATTACTTTTATAATACATTACTCCCAACACTGACTATTAACATGTACATTTGAGGGGAAAACATCACGTAGTTTTGAATTGAGCATGCATTGTTGTTGGTGAGCCCTGTACAGTCTTCGGATAAATAGGGGGCCGCGGCTCTATAGACTTTGGGAACGACTCCCATTGAGAAAAGCAGGTAACAGACCTTCTTGTTTTAATATAAATGTAATACATTAGCAGCACTGGACAGTGGCAACCTCTAAAAAACGACTAGTGAACCCACATGGCACTAGGACCCATCGACAATTATAGCACAGGAGTTGATCTAAATGCGCATGCGTTTTCCACTTACCCATTCATATCACATCGATTTAGTCTTTTTACAATAAAAATGCCCTGGACCACTATACCAGCGTTAATTTTGTGGTTTAGTATGGTAGTCCACGGGGACAATGGTGATTCTGTACTCAGCAACAGAGCCTATGACGTGCTAAAGAAACAGAATTTAGGTAAGCCCATTTTCAAGCCCTTCTCCCAGGATGCTGCCATAGCCTGTGTATGCTGTTGACATTGACTATAACAGGCCAGTTTGCTAATATAACAGAAGTTAGATTGTTTCTGTTCAAAGACCTATCCATTACAGGTTTTAAAGATGAATGCTCATTTTTATATATTATTTAGTATGATTGTCATTGTGTTTTGGTCCACACAGTGACTTTGGGAAGTGTGCTGGCTCTTCTACTGCTGCTCATGATTTTCATGGCCATCTGTGTCTACAAACCACTGCCTCGTCGATAATGTCCCACGTGGTGATGGTCCGGTTCAGCTCTGTGACCCTAAAATATTGTTGACTATTTTGTGGTTAATGTTACTGGAAGAACAGTGAAAACAATAAAAAAAAACCATTTAAATAACATATAAATAAAGTGCTTTTATTTTAGAAATATTTTAAAACAGCTCTTAAAATCACAAAGTAAAACATTATGCAGCCCTGTACATTGTTTTTGTTAGGCTGCTAGTTAAGCAGTTTGGCAATTTGCTTGTTTCCACAGATTTCTATAATTTCCTTAACCCAACAATGCACAAAATGGTTTTGTGGAATCAGTACAAGTGGTTAATAATCAGCACCATCAGCACAAATGTCATGGCAATGTAGTTATAAATTCTCATTTTAGAAATGCTTCCTAAATGGTTATAAAATTTACCTTGAGGGATATGGCCTTGGCTTGATACATTTTAAATGTGTTAATGGCACATGAGGACATATGGCTTAAGTTGGACAATGCTTTCTGTCCAGAGGCCCACAGCTGTTTACAAGTGAAAACTATGGCTAAACATACAGAGTAATATCTGCCACTACAAATGTGTTGCAGTGTTTCCCGCAGTGCTTTATAGTTAGGGCTGTCACCTTGACAACATTTGCCCCCCGCCTTGACTATGTCCCTCTGAACCATGCGAGGATTCATGTGGTTTGGTGGTTTGGAGGACAGTCCTCACTTTCGCCTGCACAGTATCTCTGCCACCTCTCGCCCCATCACCGCCTTGACTAACCAATTTTCTGCGAGAAACACTGTACTGCATCACAGCTTTAAAAACCCAAAACCTAAAATGGTTCCATTTTGAACTGTTATAGATTTGCTGCCAAAATGTTACTGATTAACATTTTATATATGGACACTGGGTCATTATGAAGAAAGAAGATGGTATGTGAAAAAGGTAAGGAAAGTCAAACCCTTTTTGAAAACATAATCAGCAGCTGATTACAGCAACATGCTTTCAATTTCCCAAGAGAAGAGGGTACATTCAAAAAGCACTGGATACTTGCTGTTTATAGTTAAGGACTCAAGGTTATTATGAGCAATACCACAGAATCATTTAGCAAGTGACTGCAAGCTCTATGTTAAGAGCTAATGAACCCTGAGACTTCAGTTTTGTTGAGTGCCAATCACTCAACCTTTGTTGTACACAATGCATAAAAATATTAATCCCATAACGGTGAAAAGTAACATAGAGATCTTAAGAAATACTTTGTATAGGATGCAGTATGGATAAACAATGAGCCTTAAATTGTAATCAGTAATTGCAAATAATTAAATATAAAAACAACAGAACAACATAACTAAGAGCCAGTCGAACCTTTAAGATGAAAACTAGTGTATAAAGCATAAAGAACAGCTAACAATAGTATTGTCTGAATCAGAAAGTTTGCTAATGCAAAAAATAAAAAAGCGATATGAAACAAATTTGTAATTGCATAGATGGCTGCACAGGTTAAGGATAAAATGAGGTGCAATGGTTGCATCTATTACAAACTACATGTTTAATATGATTTGTTAGTCTGTCGTACCCTTTGAAATCCCTCATATTCCCTTGTTACTTGTCAGTAAGTGAGAGCTGAAGTATCCTCTCCAGCTCCTGCTCCTCTTGCTGCCTGAGCCGCTCCTCTTCCTCCTGAGCCTGAGCAGACAGCTCCATAGCCAGGCGCAAGTCTGAGTCTGGACTCAGGGTAGTAAAAGAACTGGCAGGACTAGATGCATCCTCAAGGTCCACTAGTGCCCCCTCTGGAATGCTCCTGCAACAACAGTTTTAATGATTTACACGTTTACAAACATAGTTTAAGAGGCATTTAAAACAATTATTCACTTATTAAATAATGAGAAATTGTCTAACCTAACACTGCGACTTCTAGGCATTACATCATTAAATCCACCATCAACATCCTGCCAATTTCCTTCCTAAAATCAGATACATATTTAATTTTTAGAGAGCATATTAAATGCATGAAAATACCAATTGTGTGTGACCTGGTCAGAAATTCCCTGTGACTCCAGGAGACTCTGGTGGATTGCATACTGCAGAAGTTCTTCATCGTTGTTGGACACTGGCGTGTGTCTGCTGCCCCCGCGGCGATGATAGTGCGTAGGAACCTCAAACACACTTGCATTTACCTGAAATGCAACCAATGCTATGCAAAAATAAACAGTAAATAATAAGATCTAAAAAATGTACAACATTTAACACTAGCATTTACACCTTCAGAATCTCCTGTTGGGGTTCCTGCTGGAGTTGGTGTTGCTTCCTCCTCTGTACTGCATTTATTTACATTACCAAAGGTAATCCTGGCATTTAGTACATGAAATAGTGGGATCTCTATAAAAGAGACATGACATGTGTAAAATAGTATTATATGAACGGGAAAGTGTTTATTTAAACTGCACAATCCAGTTATTGTTTGTGCTATCAGAAGGGAAACCTCTGGTCCACCCCGGAAAAAAAAAAAAAAAAAACATTTGTAAAGACGAAGTAAAAAAAAAATCTGTAAATCTGTAAAAAACAAAGATAATATTTCTGAAGTTTAACTAACTTGATCCCAGTTTTTCTCACCAATTTTAACAGGAAAACCAGGAGGAAATTTCAGCGTGACAAAGTCCCGTAACCTGGCAAAATGTGAACTTGTCCGAGCCATGAGGTCAATAATTGGGGTCACCTGCTCCACCAGTGACAGCGGGTGCTCTTCACTCATCCACAAAGTGCCTTTGAATCTGTGACACAAGTGTTAAACCATTACATTGAGGATATAATTAAAAAACAGACTAATAATAATCTTAAGATCAAAATGTCATACTTTTGAGTTCGAATGCTAAGTTCAATAGGTCGACCAATATCTCTGTTTTCTAAATCAAACTCTGGGTTAAAATACTCCTCAGGGGTGATGGCAGTAGGGTTGTTTGCAGTAGCATACTCTAGAGTAAGGTCCTGCAAATAAAAATGTTTATTTTTTTCCATTTCTATTTTCTAAGAAAAAAAAGAAAATCTCACAAAGTTAAAGCATATCACATCTTACCCCCTGTGCCGTATTGTACAGCTCCACAGTGCCCAAGAGAGATTCTAGAACATTTCTTTCACCTGCATTTTAATCATTAGTTTAATTAAGGGTTATAATTAACCATAATAAATGTCTAATGTGCTAATAATTTACTAACTTTTAATACGAGATTTCTCCTCATCCGTAAGATGTTCTGTCCTTGTTCTGATTACCACATTGACATTGTTTACGCTAAAAACCTATAATAAGAAGACAAAATAAATGCAGTGAATCATTGAATAACATTCGACTGATTTGATGTGATTACCCACTTTGGCTTCAAACCCATTGACAACTTCATTTCTCTCAGTTCTCCATCCCCAAATACCAGACTTAGTCCTGTGTAGGAACAAAAAAAACATTATGATCTCTGAACGCATCATACATTTGTGAAAGGGGTTTGAAATTTTAAAATGTAAAACATGCCTCTCAAAAGCAATATCCTTGGTATCCAGGTATGTGTTAACAATAGGAGTAGTCAGTCTTTTGGCAATTTCCTGTTCAGCTGGCTGCATAGACTCTAAAGTCACATCCTCCATTTCTTGAGAAATGTTGAAGCGTTCTGTGTCCACCACTTTATCATCATGGTTTACTTCCATCAACTCTGCATGTGAATCTGTCACACACAATATAAATATATAAATAAAAAAATATCCACACTGACACACAAGACACAAAGACTGCCTTTTTAATATGGAACATACCATCTCCTCTAAAGATGTAGCTTCGCTTCCCTCGGATCCAAGTCATATTCTCAAACCCGAGCAGTGTAGCATCAACCCGCAGGTTTGAGCCACTTTTCCAAATGCGACAAACATCGCTTGGACAAACCCGGGATACAAGAGGGACTGGAACAAAAAGAAAGGACTCATTTATGATCACAGAAATCACTGACAAGAGTTACAATGCATGTCATTTTTCCAGTTTCACTCGCTCACAGCAGATGATAGCTAAAAAGGTAAGATTTAAAACTTACTCCAACTTGTGAACTCCCACTTCATTTCCATATAAAAATCTGGGGACTAATGCCAAGAAGAAAAAAAAAGTCAGGAAAAACAATATAGATACAGGTACCACAAGTTCAATGAAAAACAGTCCAACCTCTCTTATCTTTGACAGCAGCTCAGGCACTCCCCCAAGAGCAGTGGAGGCTTTGAGGTAGTCTCTGCGTTGAAGCACAAGCTGAACCATTTCTGGATCTCCTGTACTAACTGCCTCCTGCAAAACTACACACAAAGATAAATAAATAGTACAAATGTATTAATTTTAATTGCACATCTCCCCACTGGTGTTATGTCCATCTATAGGCCTAATGTGTGGTCTTACCAGTCCAGTTTTTGGCATTTTCTTTTGTTACTTGTGCACCATTTCTCAGAAGGACTCTAACAGATTCCAGATGACCAAGTGATACAGCCAAATGCAAAGGAGTCCGCCCTCTGGGATCTACTGCCTCAATGTCACTCTAAAAAAGTAGCAAGCACAAGCTTCATATTAAAATACATATTGTACATATATTTGTGTTAGCAGAACTGTCTGAGGCACTGACTAAATTGAATTATTGATGAGTGTATGTGAATTTGGGACATCACAAATCTCTTACTAACCTTTGATAACCGTATATTTTCCTCCAGCTGCCTAAAATCATTGGTCCAAACAGCGGAGTGTAGGGGAAACTTCACCCGGATCCCTTCGCTAACGTTAGCCGCGGACATTTCTACACAGCCTCAGCGCAATTTTAGCCAGCTTTACGTGATTGCAGCCATACGAGGTCGTCAGTAAGGAAAAAGCATTAAATCCATGGCATTTGCACTTCAGTAACTTGACAAATATAACAAATTCCACTGCAGCGAGAGTCAAAGTTTTGCTAAGTCTTCCTCAAAATGAAACTTTTGAACAAGGAAGTGTCAGGAGTAGTAACAGAAATGAAGGGGTGCCGTGAGTAAATACGTATCCCCTCGTAGTTTAACCAGCACTATTGTTTAGATCTCATTTCTAAGTTAATGTCACAAAATACATTATTTAATACTGTAGTTATACAAGTCAGTTAGGAAAATTCGTAACGCAAACTATTTATTAATGTAATAATGTTACAGTCATCGTCTTTGAAAAACGGGTGGTCAAATCCAGTTTGGACGCATGCATTCATCTCCTCGGCATAGGGGTGTGTCTTTTATTTTTTCCAAAACATTGTGCAAATCACGTTCATGTGACGACTCCTTATTTAACATATGTGCAAACTTTTGCCTAATTAATAGTAATTAAAATTGCAAGAAGAAAGAAGTCTGCATTATTTTGCAATGATTACGCCAGGGTAAAAAAGGTAAACATGAGACCGTCCTTGATGACGCGGTTGTCAGAGGGAGCGTTCATATAAAAATAGTAGTATATTATGTTTAAATTTAATTTAAATTGAAAAGCTGTATTAAAGATGGTCATTCAAAATGAGCATTACATATAGTATTATATAGTATTATATTCATATTAGTCAATATCAATAATATACATATATAAATCTAGAATAGCAATGGCTGCTGTTGCTGTGGGAATTGCGGCGGCCATCTTGTGATTGTCAGAAGAGCAAAACTCTATAAAAAAAAAAAAAAAAAAAAAAAAAAGCAGAAACAGGACCGTGAGCGTAATTAACTAAAAGCCTAAATTGACAAGATTGTAGTTTTTAAGTCCAAGTAATGCAGAGAACCCCCGAAAATACTGTATTTATTGCATTTATTATTATTATTATTATTATTATTATTATTATTATTATTATTATTATTATTATTATTATTATTAATTAATAATAATAATAATAATAATACAGTGTGTGGACACAACCATTTAATAAAATAAATACATAAGTCACATAACTGCTGGAACTGCAGCTTTTTTATAAACTGTTAGGCAACTATGGCAATTATTCCTTTTTTTATACAGTTACACAAGAAATATTATATTTATATATAATATTATTAAGAATAATAATTAAGAAAAACAAGAGAGAAACAAAACAAAAATACAAATAATGTATAATTTACCATTTTCGTTGAAATGCTTCACAGTTCTTATGCTTTTTCATTATTGATGTGTTTTAATTTTATCACTGTAAGCTATACATGTATTATATTATTATATTATTAAGAAGTTGTTAAATCTGGGGTGAATTTGAGTGAATTTAGCTTTGTGAAAGTAAAATGGCTATATTTCCTATTGTGTTATAATTTGCCCATGTCACACATGTCATTGTTTATATATATTGTATATATATATATATATATATATATATATATATATATATATATATATATATATATATATATATATATATATATATATATATATATATATATATATATATATATATATATAAATGTATTCAAAAGGAGAAAATACACAGTGAGAGTTCCTCTAGCTTTGTTTATATCGCATAGTCTCCATGTAAATTCGCCCTCGGTAAAGTCTTAAGGGGTCTACAATTATTTCATCATTGATCATTTTGCGTACACAAAACCTTATGTCATTGGTTCTGAAATTAGACTTAATAGGTAGGGAGAAAATGCACTTTTTTTTTTATAACAGTACGTTGAAATAATTATGTTTGCTCTGAGTAAAACAACAGGCCCTTTGAGGGTAAACTCAGGGCATCAGTACTTGGTTACAGCAGCTGCTTGTGCATTGACCACTGCCATATTTCGATGTAGTACTAGTCTGAGAAGACTAAACTACTATATATGGCTAGTTACATTGTCAAGACCTTAATTTAAAATCTACTAATGTAACGGCAAGCATCATAACCTTGATGTCGGCGGGAAAGGATTTTGTGGGTTCTGTTCATCTGCTAATTCAAACGATAGGCTAATTTAGCAACAGTAAAATGTAGCTGGGCGTTATTTTGGTTATAGCTGATTTTGTCATTCGTTCGCAAGTTGGTCAATGAGATATTTCTGGGCTCAAAGTGGATTTTATAAGATTTTATTTCAGTAAAGGATGTCTAATCGCCTGCGAAACACCGAGGTCTGTGCAGACTGCAGTGTGCCAGGTAAGCAGATTATTATTGGTGCCCTTTTTTGTCTAATGAAATTTTGAGGAAATAAGAGAACTTGTTCTAAGAGTTTTGATTTCAACATGCCTGTGAAAGATACACCTTTATAATCTATAATGAAAAATAAGTCGTGATCTTAGGGAGGAGTACTTTGTTTAAAAGAAGTTCTGGCTTTACATGTTGAAACATGTATTAGAAAAAAAGGAAGTTATTACTGCTTTATAAGTTTGTTTGGATATTGTGATTTCTTTTTCAAGCACAGGAAGCAAAACAGGATGCTGCAGACACATGCTTTCAGTGCACAACATGTTTCTTTTGTTATACAGCAGATCACTTACAGCAATTGAAAACCTAAGTTAAATCATACACCCGAGCCTAAGGTTGCACCACTCTATCGTTTCAAATTATAAATTATAATCAAATGCTCTACCAGCAGTTTTGTCTCACATCAGCTGCTCCAATAGCAAACTAGTAAACTTAGTAGAAACTAGTAGAAAGTTTTTTAAAGATGGCGACTTGACAATGTTATTGATGTTTGTAAAAAAGCCTAATATTTATTTAGTAATAAGTGTATCCTCATAATGATTCTTCAAATATAGGATGCGACTCTTTCCTCTTTTAAAGAGGAAGGTACTCTATTTCTTAACACACTATTTTAGACAAGATATTATGTATTATTTCTGATATTTAGTGACTATAATTTAAATCCCAATTTTACGTTTTGTTAATTAAAAACTGTGATATTGACCTAGAACACTGTAAAAGAAATGGGTCCCTTAACTTCCGGTTCAAAACTGCAGAACAGATTTTTTGCTGCTGGCCCCCACCTCTTCATTGTGGCATTTCACTGTCGCAAGCAGTGGATTTTAAGTTAAGGTGCTTCCATATTACTATGCAACATTTTTAACATTGCATATGACCTGGTGTTTTAATTTTTCAAATTATTGTATTGACACAGAGCTGTGGGCAAGGACTAGGTGAAAACAAAATTTTACTGAGCACTTATGCCTCAATTGTAGAACAATACAGCATTAATCAAACATACATGCACTCTTATTTTATTTGTCCAGACCCACACTGGGCCTCTGTGAATAGGGGCGTTTTGATATGTGATGAGTGCTGCAGCGTGCATCGAAGCCTAGGAAGACACAGCTCCCAAGTCCGCCATTTAACACACACACCATGGCCTTCTGCTCAGCTACAGGTAATAACACAAAATAATGAATTACTTTATATGGTTGCTTTATATTGGCACTCATTAATTTCTCATTAAAGTCTTTATGGGTGTACTCTGGTTTTGGTTTAATCAGTGATCATCAGGAATCTGAAGATATTTGGTTACACTTAGAGGCTATTACTGAGTAGTTCTATTCATTTTGTCTCATAAAATTTCAGTCATTTTAAACACACAGGGACAGGTCTCTTGCTGGTGCCTGGACAGGTGCAGCTAAAATCTGGGAGGACATTTGGCAAATCTTCTGATCCGGGAATTGGTCTCACAATGTTGAGGCCTGCTCAGAGCCTGACATATGTGCTATAGCCTAGTCCACTCAAATATCAAGCAGCACATGTCTTCTTATCTTTTGATAGTTTTTTGGCGAATAGCTGTCCATGGAATTGTCCTTGTCTATTGAATTCAGAAGGAATGCAAAAAAAACAACTAACTACTACACGATTAACCAGGACAGAAAAGGAGAGAGGACACAAGCCTAAAATCAGCCATACCTGATCACTGTAAACTGTAGACTTCTTTCATGGACTGGGAAAACTTAGAAATAATTGAAACAGAAGGACACGAGTATATCCAGTAAGACCAGCTGATAAAAGTGACATGTCATAGCAGATGGAGGACTGTTCTGTTTGTGTCTGACTGCATTCTTCTCAGTTGTTTTAAATCTACATTGTTTTAACTACTGTAAATTATTTTGCCTTGTGCTTGAATTAATGTAGATGGTGCAGACTCTATACAGCAATGGTGCAAATTCTATTTGGGAGCACTCACTTTTAGACCCAACATCTGTGATGAGTGGAAAACGCAAGGCCAATCCTCAGGACAAGCTGCAGTGAGTACTAAGAGTGGACAGATGAACTTTTAACATACTTGCTTTATTTTTTTTCTATATATTAACAATGTTGTTATTTCCTCTTTTTGGTTCACACAGCCCAAACAAATCTGAATTTATAAAAGCTAAATACCAAATGCTGGCTTTTGTCCATCGTATGCCATGTCGAGAGGATGACAGCAACACAGCAAAAGATTTAAGTAAAGTGGGTATAATAAGTACTGTTTTTTTCCCGTAAAATAGTGTAACTTGTCTAACTTTTACTACTTTGAGTTTAGCAACTTCACTCAAGTGTGCGAACAGGAAACCTTGAGACATGCTTGAGATTACTAACATTGGGAGCTCAAGCTAATTTCTTTCATCCGGTAAGATTGAACCTCATTTTCTGTTTGACTTAAAATTATCTAGCATTGCTATTTCCCTATTTATATGTACATTGATTTAAACAGGAAAAAGGAAGCACACCTCTGCATGTGGCTGCAAAGGCTGGACAAGTATTACAAGCTGAACTACTGACAGTTTATGGGGCAGATCCAGGGGCACCTGATAGTAATGGCAAGACTCCAATTGACTATGCAAGGTAACTCAAATGAAGATATCCTTTATTTTAATTTGTTTTGTTATATAAACTGATCAGTTTAACTTACTGTATATATGTTTAGAGAAGCTGGCTATAATGACTTGGCAGACAGACTGGTTGAGATCCAGTTTGAACTTACAGATCGACTGGCATTTTACCTTTGTGGGAGAAAACCAGGTATTTTAGCTCTATATCATATCATATCATATAATTTCAAATACACATACTTTATTGTTGTTATGATTAAAACTTGTACAATATTAAAGAGTGGGCTGTACAGTTCTTAGAGGATTTGGTTTGCCCTCATTCTTCAATATTCAATATTCTTTTATTTATTTTAGATCACAGGAATGGACAGCATTTCATCATACCCCATTTAGCTGACAGGTGAGTGTATATTTATTTAAACAGGAAAATAAGTAATATTGTTAATTGTTGTATTGCAAACATGTATATTTGTTTTTGTTGTTTTATAATTGTTTTTTATGTATTACCATATTTTTTGTGATAATAAAAAGGATTTAAATAAAATGTTTTAGTCCTCATGAATTCCTATATATTGTTTACATGATATTACCCAACATTTTATTATCATTTTGCATCAGTAAATTCATAAGACAGAAACTTAAATACTTTATGTGTGCTTTTGCATTGCTCTCTTATAATGAATGGATAAGAAATGTGTGAGTATAATCAGTTGTGCATTGAGCTTGCTATCATTTACTGAGGCTATGTCCTAATCAAGTTATTTTGTTTGTAGCAGTTTGGATTTATCAGAACTGGCCAAATCTGCAAAGAAAAAGCTACAGTCTGTGAGTAATAACTTTATATTTCACTTTTCACTTTATTTAGGAGTTAAAATAGTTATCAAACATATCAAAGATTGACTGTACTGTTTTTACAGCTCAGTAATCATTTATTTGAGGAGCTTGCGATGGATGTGTATGACGAGGTTGACCGGAGAGAGACAGATGCAGGTAACTTTTTGAATACACTGGCCCAAAGAAACATCTACAGGAAGTGCTTCATTTCCACTGCAATAACTGTCCTAAATAGAACTAAGTAGCGCTGTTCTGAACCTCTGATTTTATATTGTTGGTCTATTGTGTTCTCTAGGAGTTGTGGATGTTGTTTGAAGAGAAAATTCTGTTCTATCCTGGGATAGAAAAATAAAATTCTATTCTGTTTTATTTGATTCTATACTTTCAAGGAAATCTCAGTGTACTATTTTTTAATAACTATTCTGTTTGACGTTTTCAGTGTGGCTGGCTACACAGAATCATAGCACCCTTGTGTCTGAGACAACTGTGGTGCCTTTTCTTCCAGTCAATCCCGAATATTCCTCCACTAGAAATCAGGTGCAGTTTATTCATTTATTCAATTAATTATTTTGGGTCTATCATATTTATTGAACAATTCTGTTGTTTATAACAGGGACGTCAGAAGCTTGCAAGATTTAATGCACATGAATTTGCAACTCTTGTCATTGATATATTAAGTGATGCTAAACGTAGACAGCAAGGAAATTCAGGAGTCAGTCCCCAAGGTCAAAATTATTTCATTTACAACATCTGTTTTGTATTGTTGTGAATCATTGGTTAACTGTGTTGCATTATTTCTTATTCTAGATCATTTAGATCTCATTTTCAAAAATCTATCTGTAAAGAACTTTGGTGATAGTCCAGATAATGATCAACCTGACTATGACAGTGTGGCTTCTGATGAAGACACTGATCAAGATATGCTCGCCAGTAAAGAAGACAGAACAAAGGTAAAACTGAAATATGTAGGACTGTGTTGTGATAATTTATTCACACTATTGTTATTCTCTAGAGCCTGGATTCAGACCTCTCAGATGGCCCAATTACTATGCAAGAATATATGGATGTGAAAAATGCTCTCACTGCTTCTGAGGCAAAGATTCAGCAGCTAATGAAAGCCAACAGTAACCTGAGTGACGAGTTGAGATTGATGCAGAAAAAGGTATCTCCAATATTGTGATTACTAACCTATGGGACAGACTGGCTGGTTGTGTGTCTATCTACATCTAATCACAAATATCAACATGTGTATGCCTGTTCACTTTTATTAATATGTCCAACAGCATGTCCACATTTTCAAGTTTTATTGTACTCTCTGTTTTTTCACCACTATAATGTCTGTGTGTGTATATATATATATATATATATATATATATATATATATATATATATATGTTTTTTTTTTTTTACCCAAGCATGAAGAATGTTTAATGTAGAGGAGGTGGACTAATTTGAAGTGTCTGCATGGTTTATTTTCAAGTCTGTCACATGTTTTGTAAAATAGCACAATTTTGTGAACATTTCTAGTTTCGCATGCTTGTTTTATGTTGTAGTTCTCCCCAGTGTTTATAATATTTTTTAAATGAATTTTTTTTAAAATAATTTCTACTGCACTTAACACAGTCACATACATTATATTGACAGCCACAACCCACCCACTCCTGTTTTATTTCCATAAACCCCATCTATGTAGCTTTCCAAACTTTTCTTGATGATCTTGGGTAAATCTGTTTGATTGATCTCAAGTATCTGTCTATAGCTTTTTCTATGATCTAAGCTGCTCATTTGCCAATCTTGCTTGCTCACCATTTGCTTAGCCTTGTAAATGAAAATCAAATTGCCCAGTAGAAAGTACATGCAGTATCAGTAATTAGCTTTTTATATGTATTTCTTTGGTCCTACTCAGATAATTTTAGCAACAGCCCCTTGTATAACATTGACAACAAGTGGTCTAGTAGTAAAGTAAAAATTCTAATCCAGGTTTTCCCTCTAAAATGACATGTAGAAACTCTTGCTTTTCTTAGTATATGGCATTTCTTCCAGCTTCAATCTCTGCAAACTGAGAACTCCTCTCTAAGGCGGCAGGCCAGTCCCAGTCAGTATCAGAGTCCCAGCAGCTCAGAGCACCCTGACCCCTCCAGCCCCTCCGCCCACAAGCGGAGGCAGTCTTCACGAGCCAGCCGGCCCATGTCTATGTATGAGACTGGCTCAGGCCTGAAGCCCTATGTCCCTAAAGGGGAAATGCCCTATCCCGAGGAGCCCCTCCTTACCTTGCAACCCTTTACACCTTATGTAAGTAAGACCTGCTCCTGTGTCCACTATTTCTGCTCTGGACCTCTCCCTCTGTCTTTTCCATTCCCAAACCCTCTCCTCTGTTCTTTCATCCGAATAACATTTTATCAAATACAAATACGTTCATTCATTAGTTGACAGACAAATACAAATACATTCATTCATTAGTTATCACAGTGTATTTTTTGTTAATTTATAAACACTTTGTACTGTTTTTAATTTCTTTTTAAGAAACATTAAAATCTTCGTACAAGTGATGTGTTTCAGTAGTACATTGTTTATGAAGTAAAGTAGACTTTGTTCATTATAGGCTGAGTTACATTTCCAGCTAAGGAGCACCATGGTCTCCTTTTTGTGCTGCTACAACAAAACTATGCATTTAGGGATATAAGCTTGCAATTTAATCTACCATATAGACTGTTGGTACTGAAATATAGCATACTATGTAGAACACTGCAGTTTTATGTTGTATTTAAGGAATAATGTAAAGTCCTAGCACTTAATTTGGATATACATATGACTGTTGTTAAGTTCCACAGAGTTTAGGGGCATTTATAAATTTTATACATTGTTTTGCAACTATCACATTTGATTTTAACCCTGTCCTCAGACGGAAAGGGGTGCTTTTGGTGTTACCTCCTCATCTCTGCCCTCATTTCCATCCACCTTGTCTTGGTTTAAAGAAGACAGTGTTGTGAAGGTCAAGTACTGCCTGTTGCAGCAAAAGACAGAAGTCTTTTAGCTAATGTTAAACTGCACAGCTGCATGTTTGAGCAATCTCTCTACTGCACTGCTAATCAGCACAGTCTCCTGTTTGACCACTCAGCACTCATGAATTACACTGATTATTCTTCTGTCTTTGCTTAGAAAGCTTTAAACAGCATGCTTATTATTCACTCCATCTCAAAAGTAATCAAGCGAAATTTATTGGACATAAACCAGCAGTTATTTTACTTTAAGTATTTTATTAATTTGACAATTTCGTATTCACCGTTTGTTTCCTGAAAATTACTTCCATCAATCTGTCATAATTCAAAAGGTTTTGTTCTTTGTCCATGTCTGTCCATCTATTTGAGTTTGGATTAGTTATATTCGAGAGAGGTTACATTTGCAACAGACACAGAACTCACAGCTTATTTAATATCCTATTTTACTAAAATAGAAATTAATGTCTGCTCTTTTCAGCTGCTGCACTGCTTCCTTTTTAAATCATGGTTGTGGTCAACCCCTGCATACACTCCTTTGTGATACAATACTGTTCCTTTGCTCTTCCAGGCTTCAAAGTTGGATAAGCAGATGAGCATGCCTGAAAGTGATTATGATAATGCATTTAATGACTCAGAGATGGATGACCTGAGGTAATGTTATTCCATTAAATTATTCTACACTGGATACATTTGTCTGAAAAACAAAAGCAGATTTTGGTCTATGGTTGTGACAGCCTTTGCAGGAGAGGAAGGTTACGCAGCAGTGGCTGGCCGGCAGAGGGCAACTCGATCCCAGAGTTTGATGATGTAGAGATGGAAACAGACCCCACACTTCCCAGCACTGAAGATGTCATCCGCAAAACGGAGCAGATAACCAAGAACATCCAGGAGCTGCTGCGAGCGGCCCAAGATGGCAAACATGAGAGGTTTGAATGAATTGTTCAGATCCTTCACCTCCACCACTGTCTTTTGTCTTGTTTATGCAGTTATTTTCTTCTAGAAGCTTTCATTTTGGTTCATTTGATTCCTTTTTGATTCATTCTTTTTCTCTACTTCTTTTGCCTCTGTGTTTGTACTGTGGTCTCCATGTCTCCATCACCTATATGAGCAGGGCTGTTGAGCGTGAGGGCACGCGTCGCCTTAGGCATAGTTTGGGATGTTTCAGCAGTTTGGTTCCTTGGGCTGAAAAGCCCACCTCCTCTCTACAGCTACTCAGCCTTCGCTCCCCTGACCCCACCTCCTGGTATTCTGGCCTCTGTCCCTGCCTACCAGGCACAGTCTACTTCCTCTCACTCTATGCTATGCTCTTTCTTCAAAAACAACGCTTTGTTGCGTGTGGTTTCAACTATTTGGTTTGGTGTGATTAACAAAAACTATAATATATAACCTGCAATTCAAGAGTCAGGAGTATTGAAATAATCTACGCATTTGTTCACACTACAGCATGTGTTACAATTTATTATCTTCAAAGCTATGATGAATATCAAATCAACTTTGATGCCATTGTATATTGCAATGTTTATGTGAAACTTGCATGGAGTAGTTCAGTTGCCTTTTCTCTCTCTATCAGCTTGAATAGACTTTCCATAATGAGTGGTAAATAATGTAGATAACTCTAACATTTGCTGTTTGTTAATCTCTGTCTCTACAGTTTCATCCCCTGCTCAGAAAGAATTTATGTGGCTGTAACAGAAATGGCTGCCCTTTTCCCAAAGGTATTTGATGATATTTTTGAAAGTGTAGATCTCATCAACTGTATTATACATTATTGTATTTCTATTCACTTGTAGAAACCTAGTTCGGAGACCGTGAGAGGCTCTTTGCGCTTGTTGACGTCCAGCGCCTGTCGACTCCAGGCTGAATGTAAGAAGGTGGTGCCTTCAGACGGAGGCCAAGCTCCGGATATGCAGCTGGTCACACAGCAGGTCATACAGTGTGCTTATGACATAGCCAAAGCAGCCAAGCAGCTAGTGACCGTTACCACAAAGGAGAACACCAACTAACAGCACTTCTTATTTTTGTAGTGTTTAGTTTATTTTTGAAAATTGTATTTGTGATATATGCATGTTTTTATTTATTTTGAGTAAAAGCTTACAAATGTATATTAGATATGTCAATAATTAATATGTGCTCAAGAGAAAAAAATAGTATATATTGCACATCTACAGTCCTGTAATTTAGACAATATACTGGAGATAGCTAGCAGGCCTAGGAAATATGAATTATGTAAATTGTGTCAACACCTGATAATGTATCATAAATTTGTCTTTTGTGGTTTAATACTACATGTATCCATATGCATATGGATCATCCCAAAGCATCAATGAATACTTAAAGCCATAAATGAGTGAACATTACTGCGACAAAATAGTAAGTTAACACTCATGTATTTAAGAGCTTCCCTTTATTTATTGCACTGTGCAAGCTTCAACTACTGTATATTTACCCATCTAAACAGAATGGGCCAAGTCTCATTGTTGTGATTTTATGTACCTGTAGTTCTTTGCTTCAGTGTTGGATGAAAAAACGCAAGGCTGGTCCCCCACATACTTTAATTTTGTTTATAGTTCATGTATTGAGTGTTTCTTGTATTGTGTGTTTGTTCTTCAGTACAAGTTCAATCAACAGTGAACCGTAAAATGTTTATATTGATGTGTTTTCATGAAACTCTGGACTATATTAATCTGTGCCAGTGCTGGGGCTAACATACAAAACAAAAGCTACTAACTATGTGTGTTCAGTATTGTGTTTTTTTATGTGCAACAAATGGGTTAATACAAGTGTTAAAGGTTATACCACATGTTCTCTGACATTTCAAATTAATGCCCTTCCCTATGCTACAAATGTGTAGCAATGTATGGGAGGCAGCTGTGAAATATTTTCTTAATAAACTTGATTTAATCATATCTATTATCATTTATGTTTATGCACATTATACAAAATGTTTATTGAATGTTTGATACCAAATGGTAAATTGCAAATATATGTTCAAAAATACATGAAACTGCTTTCTTTTATACACATTAAAATACAAAAATGTATGGCATCTAGCAAGTATGGCCACAAAGTGAATTAAATAGATATTAAACCTAATTATTAATAGAAAGTAAACATTCTTTTAATTGTGATAATCATTTCTCAGGTCCATACTGTTCGGGGTCTGCTGCGTATCTGGAGGCAGAGAAACATTTATTAGATCCCTGGGAACTATAGACTGTACAGAGAAGAAGATACAGTCTATGCTGGCAACCCTAGTAAGCCAATGTAAGTAAAAGAGCTCAAATCTTGGCTCACCCTCTCCTCATAGCCTCTCTGGGCCATCCTGTGCACCTCCAGCCTTATCTGCTCATCTTGAAGCCGGCGGGCCTCTTGTTCTTTCTCTTTCAACTGTTCCATTTGCAACTGCTCCTCCCACTGCTCCTGACGCTTCTGCTCAACCTAAAACAGTGGTAATACCATAAGTTTTGTTTACTGACAAAGAAAAGACTAATTACTTACTTGCATTGCAACATGAGGCGTATCATTCTTACCTGGGCATCTATTTCCTTCTTTCGTGCTGTTCTGAGACCTTCCTGTAGTTCTTTTTCCTGACGCTGTAACTCTTTTTCTATCTCTAATTCTTGGATCAGCTCCTCGCGTCTCTTTAAGGACTCTTCTTGAGCCTCACGGTTCTGATGCATTTTTAGTTCAAGTTGTTGCTGTCTGCCTGCAAGTACCTTTTAAGGAAGCACAAAAGTCAAGACAAAATAATACTGCATGTTCAACATTTTACTTTTCACTTGTGATTTTTAAAATTTTTTACCTCTTTCATGAGTCGTTCTCTGGCTATTCTCTCCGTCTCCCACTGTGCTTCCTGTTTTTCCCACATCTGTTGAGCTTCTTCCCTACAACAAATTAAATTATATCTTACACTTCTAACTGTGCAGTTGATAGTCACAGACTTAACTTGCTGCTCACCGATGTAAGTAGTCCAACTCCACCTCCCTCTCTCGCTCCAGCTGGAGCTGCTCTTCAATAACTTGCTTCATCCAGGCAGCATCAGCGATGGCTCGCTGTCTTCGTTCAGTCTCAAGTCTCTTGTCTTCTTTCTCACCCTCTAGTAAAGCTGCCAGGATTCTACGGTCAGCCTCCTGGTTTAGAAAAAAATTAGCACATTCACAGTTGTAGCGGCATCTTTTGACTGTCTTTCAGCATCTATGACTGTCTAGAAAAGCTCTTTATCAATACTATTAAAAATTATTCCATTATTAGGACCAGAGACAAAATTCTTTTAAAGACTGAAAAGGGAAAGTAACACTCACAAGTTCCTCCTGCACTTGCTGAGCTCTTCTTTTCAATTGAGCCCGATACTGACGTATCAAAAAGTGCCTGTAATAACAAACATAATACACATAAAAATATACAATTAGATTAAGTCCCAGTTCTTGCAAAACAGTACATTTCTCACCTCATCTCAGATTTCTTTTTTTTTTCCTCTGCTCCTCTCCTTTCTTCTTCTATCTTCTCAAGTTCCCATTGCTGGGCTATTAAAGCCTCTTGCTCCCTCTTAAGACGTGTTGCCTAAAATTCCATAGATTTAATTAAATCTATTTCATAAAAAAAAACACACACACAATTGATAGTTCACAAAAACTGATGACTGTACCTCTTCTTCCCTCAGTCTGAGTTCCTCCATTTGTTTACGGAGTTCTTCAGCTCTTTTCAGCTCCTCTGCCTTCTTCCGCTCCTCCTCTTGCTTGATCCGCTCCAGTGCCTCTTTATGTGCCCTCTCAAATTCATTTTCAAATCGTCGCTTCTCCTCCTGCTCTGCAGCTTTTTGCTGTACATTTGTTAAATGAACTAGTTTAAGAAAGGTGCTTAATCTTGTATGTAATTGAATTAAATATTGATATGTCAAATCATTAACTAGTCAATATTTAATCATCCAGCCATTTTCCGTTGACAGTATAAATAAAACATTGACCACTGGCTGCAAGACAAGGGCAAGATTACATTTAAAACTTGTATTTTTCTTACCTCTCTCTTGTCAGTTATCTGCTCTTTCCAATGTTTGATTACATGATCTTTGTGTAAGGTAGACTCAAGCTGAAGAACACAGGCAAACAAAGCAAGTCTTAATGCACTAACCAAAACATTTTATGCAAAGTCCAAACTGAAGTCTGTAAAAGGTCACAAAATATCAGTTTCACACGCCTGGTGTGTGTGACTCCAGAAGCCATTTATCACTTCTACAGTCAACATTTTGAGTAAAAGATCTGGAAATGTGTCCCTGAAGCACTAATTGTTTAACGATTACTACCTCTCTCAAGTCAGGATTATTTTTCCTCCAGTGCTCCTTCAGCAGCTCATCAGCAACCTAAGAAAAAAAACACAGAATAAAGCTGCTCGCGGCAATGGTGGCCCTCGCCCCATTGTTCGCAAGGAAAAAAAAAAAGAAGAAGAAGAAACCGACGAAGAACAATAGCCCTCGCCAGTTACTACATTACTGGCTCGGGCCAATTAACACAAAGACAAGATTTTAAAGTCAGTTTAAGAGTCAATACCTTTCTTCTGCGCTCCTCTCTTGCTGTGCGTAGCTCTTCTGTTTTTTGTGTCAATTGACTAGCTAAAGTGCTGCTGTCAAGAGCAACTTTACAGAGCTCCGCCTCCAGACGGCTTTGTTCCTTTTCAAGCATAGCCCTGAGCCGAGCCCTGCGCTTCTCTAGAGATACTCTCTGTTCCTCCTCCAATCTCTGTTTATGATATGCCAGCATGCTGTCAAAAAAACCCAAACAATTCCAATAACTAATTTATGGTAACATTTATTATTACTTACAGAAATCTTGTTATCTATCTCAAATATATTTCATCCAATGCTAATATATATATATATATATATATATATATATATATATATATATATATATATATATATATATATATATATATATATATATATATATATATATATATATATATATATATATATATATGCCATTTATTGCCACTATTAATCAAATAAAGTTACTTTAGTTAATATCATAAGCAAAACTATATTCGTACACTGGAGCATCTCAACAGAAAGTTTTAGAATTCACTGTATTTGCACTGTAATGGTTACATTTCACAAATAATAACATATTAAACAGTTACATACAAAACACTGAATCATGGATGAATCTGACCTCTGCTGGTGGGACTCTTGAGAGCTCCATGCCGCCTGTTTCTCACTGCGGACGCTCTGCTCTTTGAAATACTGGGCATGGAGCTCCCACTGCTGCCTCCACCGCGCTTGCTGCTCCCGCTGCCGAGCCTTCTGCCCGGCCCAAGTACGGGACCGTCTGGGAACATACGCCGACAGTGTTGGCAACGCCATAATGATCCTAAACAACAAGAAATCAGGCACTCTATCACAAGAACTTAGCTTAACAAGGGGAACGGGTATCAGTATTTTTTAAACAAAGCAGTTACTTATTAGTCATGAATACAGTATGGATTATATAAAAAGAAATACTCAGAAAAAGACTTGTTTAGCTTGAAACGGTGAATGATCAGATAAAAAGAGCTATTTGAACAAAAAAAAAAAGCACCTCACATAGACTAGCGCTTTTTCTCTGGTGTCCCTTAGTTACCGCTCGACTTCCTAGTTACTCCCCGCTATACGGGCTAATGTTAAGGACAAACTTCATTTACAAAAACGCGAAAACTATTTTTATTGTATTTTTATAGAGTAGTTAGGACAGACTAAATTATGGGTGTAGTCGGGAACTTTGTTTTTCTGTTTTCTGTTTTCTTTGTTTATTCAAATTTCGGAAGATCATTAGTTCATCCATTAGGCTACACAGGAATTGTTGTAATCAATCTTTCATTAGGCCAGTGAAAAAAAAATCTTGAACTTGAGCTTTTTTTTTTTTTGCATAAACAATTGTGTGTCCCCAAGTGATGCATTTGTGAGTGCGTGTGCTCAGGTCACACTCAGTTGGAGTCTGCCACACAGTGTTAGGTGCCACTGAATCTGCAGTAAAGGCTGGAAGCCTGTTACTATCTTTTTCAGTGCTTCACACTGTTGACTTAAACATGGCCCTGCTGATGGAGCATCAGTTCAGACAGCTGCCAGCTGACAGACAAGTGGAAACGAGGCCATTTCTGGAGGCAGTGTCCTATCTTCCACATTTCTTTGGTAAGTCTTTAATTCAGTAACATCAGGACAGAGGTGGGAAAAGTATATGACATTGCTGAATCTAAGATATAAAACAATTATCTAGACTAATATTTCAGCCAAAACAATACTGGCAAAGAGTTTTTTGAGTTGATTTAGATTTTAAAGTATTGCACTTTGAGGAAAATATTTTTGGCTAATTTTGTTTTGTATCACATTTTCTTTTTATTTAGCTGTCAGCAGTTCTTTAGCATGCATTATTTAATTTGGTGGCCTGGATTTTTAGTTGTGAAAATTGATTAGAAGGGTGTTGAGTTCCCTATGCCCATTCATTGGTGAGATTGTGCTCCTGGGCACTTTTGTGCAACTTCATTCGGTATTAATATACCAAGGGCTTTCTTTTAAAATGCCACACGAAACCCTTGAGGGCACCGCATCTATTGCCCTTGTATTTAAATGATCATGGCTATTTTTTAATTGATAATAAATTAAAACTAAACATGTTTTATGAATGCCTATACTTTCGAACAAAATAATATATTGACATGGTGTGATAAAAGCTATATGCACTGCTACTCTTTGTATTTAACTGAGGAATAACACTGTTGCTACCTATTCTATCATTTAGATGCTTTCCGTTTTTAGGAAGCAAACTATTATAAAGCAATACAAGCATCTCTCAGAAATAAGATCTGAACATCAGATGGGCACAATAGAGCAGACTTTGTCATGAGGAGTTTCCACTAACAGCAGCTCTGTAGCTGGTGACAGTCGGGCAAGCACGTGTGTGTGTCAAGCCTCTAGATGTCTCTTGCCTCACTGCGCTGTCACCTAATACTTTGCTCACCTAATTACCTAACAAGACTCTACTAAATGCTGTTGAGTTCCTGTTTGTCTTAATAACTACTCACGTTGCATTATTCATCAACAGTACCTTTCTGTACTCTATTGACAAATCTCCATATACCAATCTTTAGACTGCCTTGGACCCACTGTTTTTGCACCAATAAAAGCAGACTTTTCAGGAAATCTCACAGTAAGAAATTTGTTCTACCACCCATAAATATCACATTATTATACTTTGTTTATTAAAGAAACATTTTATATTTTATAGAAAATCAAGACTGTCTATGACACCAGTCCATCACGTTTCAAGACACTGCAGCAACTTTTGGAGGCTGAAAAGGAAATGCATGGTTCAGAATGGCCCAAAGTTGGAGCAACATTTGCACTCATGTGGCTTAAAAGGTATGAGGTCAATGAGTATTTTTAAAGCCAAAGGTTTCGTAGTTTTAATGTTTTGAGTATTATCTATTGCAGGAGTCTACGGTTTATCCAGGTATTTCTCCAGAGTCTTGTAAATGGTGAGAAAGATGACCTAAATCCAAACCTCATTCGGGTTAATGCAAACAAAGCCTATGAAATAGCACTCAGGAGGTATCATGGTTGGTTTGTGCAACAACTTTTCAAGGTGACTCTTTTTTGTATTAGACAAAATAAAATATATAAACTACAAATGTCAGCTGATGTATTTATCTTTATGGTTTCAGGCTGCTGTGTTTGCTGCACCTTATAAATCTGACTTTCTAAGGGCTCTGTCGAAAGGCCGAGATGTCAAAGAAGAGGACTGCTTAGAGAAAATCCGTAAATTTCTAATAAACTTCTCTGCGACTGTGGATGCAATATATGAGATGTACGCTAAGATGAATGCTGATGTAGATTCCACAGCATGACTGACAACATAATTTTGGTGTGACATTGTTTACCTTTTGAGTTTGACAGCACTGCTTGTTTCCTTTTTATGTTGAGGTAATACACATTTTACATTAGGTTGCAAAGATTGAAATGGTAATTTTTGCTTTGCAGTAGTGTTATCAACATCAATAAAATATGGTTTTAGTCTATTATTAGGCTTGAGTTGTTTTTTTGGGGTTTTTTTTGTGAATCACTGAGTAAATACATTTGGAATGTTTTTTTTTTTAAAGGATTCTTTGACTTTAGTTAATGTAGAGTGTCTGTCTCACTCTTGGTTCACTTTTACTACTACCTCTGACCAGGGGTGGAAGACGTACTAAATTTTGTTACCTCAGTAAAAGTACAGATACTATAGCAAAAACATACTCAAGTAAAAGTAAAAGTGCCACATGAAAAAATCTACTTAAGATAAAGTATTAAAGTACACATAACAATTTGTGCTGAAGAAACAATTAAATGATTTTTTTTTTCTTAGTGGTTTTGATTTGTTTATTGGTTGTTATATTTTTGTTTGCTTAAACTACAAATGTGTTTAGAAATAACCCCCTCAGACTTTTCGGCAGGTCTCAAACACTTTTCAGCACAGTTCAAAAACGTAGAGGAGCAGAAAGTACAAATACCTCCTCTCAAATGTAGGGAAGTAAAAGTAAAAAGTATCCACAACAGATACCTAACATTTTTACTTAAGCGCAGTACTTTAGTACTTTTACATTGTTACTTTCCACCACTGCCTCTGACCTCAGGAATCTGACAGGTAAAGGCATGTCTGCTTTCCTCAAGTACCAGAGGTCAGATGTACCGAAATGTTGTACTAATAAAAGTGTATCAAGACTGAGGCAGAGTTTACACAGAAACGAGTTAGTGTAGTGTAAACATATTTTGTTTTGTCCTCAAGACTCACTTCAAAAAAATTTTAGCGCGTTTGAATGAACTGAATGATTTGTAAGAGGGTCATCAACAGTAATAAAAAAAATCAATTTCTAGCGCAGCAATCTGTGCTAGAAATGTAAATATTTCAGATTTTTTTTATTTATCTGACAGGTAAAGACATGTCTGCTTTCCAGGAATCAATGAATGGCTTCATGGAAGAAACCTTGTCACGTCACCCTCTTGTGGTAAACTCTAGTACTGCCCTGTACTTCCGCTTTGGCTCCAGACTCCCAATTTTGGAGGAAAAGGTAGTGACCACACCGTCCCACCCAATCTGTCTCAAGGCATCCCTTGTTCTGGTAAACTTCTGGTAAACTCAACGCAGCAGTATGAGCTGTTTCACTTTGTGGAGTTAAGAAAGACAGTTGAATTTAGAAGCTTCAGAAAATGGAAAATCAAGTTGGGCAAACTTAGAACAAGTTTCAACAACTATCAAGTAAGTCACGTTGCTATTTTTTCACTGTTAAATTCAAGTGAATGTTGTGATATTTGTCCCTGTCTGTCAGTGATAGAGCTATATACTGACTAAAAATGTTTATAATAGTCTACATTACTGTAGTTCATACAGGCTATTGTGAATATCCAAGCTGTGTTCTTTAAAAATATATAGACAAATTATTGACATTTGGCCTTCCTCTACGGACTTGTTGGTGTTGTTTATTTTAACACTCATATAATCAGTGCAATTTTTCAGTATATACAGCCTATATTTTTGTTAGTAAGTATTACAGACTAGATTATGTAGGGTATTTTTTTTAATTATTATTAACTTTGGCTTTTAAAGATTATTGGCAGCTAAATTACTTTGTTAATTGTTTTCATTAGTGTTTATGGGTATAAAACTGTACTTTTTTCACTATTTAGATTAGTGGCTCCAGTTTAAACAGTCATATCTCTTTAGTTCTGGACAGTGTCACATCAGCAATGACACAGCCGGAACTCCCATGTCTCTAGGGACATTCTCATCCATTACTATTGGAACAACAGTACGCATCTTGCCCTTGTCCATCACTATGAAGATTAATGAAAAGTGGCTGATTAATCATTGACAAATGACCTCTACTCAAACTAAAGAACTATAATTTAATGCAGCCTAAAGTTGTTGTAGTCTGGCTTCCTGTATTAAAGCTATCAAATGTGCAGTGAGGAGAACTGGCATGATAATCCTGTGTGTTAAACAGAGCACTGACTCATGCCTGCCTCACATGGGGCCCCGTATTTTGTTTGTGTTGCCTCTTTTCAGTGCAGTCTGGCTTAGATAAGTGCCCAAAGTCAGGAGCAGATTCAGGAAGCCATACAATTGAAGAGGAAGCCATATGTGAAGGTGTCTATCCTTGTCTATTCAGATAATAGAGTATAGCAAATACTATTGTTCTCATATGTCCAAGTTTACATAATGAATATACAGAGTTTTTTTCTATTTGTGACTAATAAATCAGGGGTCTATTTAGCTACTGTGTAAGAAATTTATGCTGAGGTAAAATTTGTTTCTGCATTTTCAGGATACTCTCATGTTTCATCATTACTTCCAGTTTCTTCTGAATAGGAATTGGGAATTTCGTTGTGACAAAAGCAATGAATGAGGTATATTTTACCATGCAAGCTTAAAATTACTGCTAAATTACTATGTAAATAAAAGTTTAACAGAAAACATTACCTGCTCGATAATCCTAGAATGACACATTTAATTAACTTACAAGTAAAATATAATGTTCTGTCTGCTCCTGTGTTTTCATAGAATCGTTCGGCCACTACACTTTTCAGAAAATATCAGCTTGCCTTGTCTAAAAATGGCACTGTCTCCCTGGATTCTGGAGATGTTGGAGCAGCTCAGAGCGACTCCTTATGTGAGCTGTCAGACCTGGACAATAGCTCTATCCCGCCTGAAGACCAAAGTATTGAGGGGGGACAAGAAGTGGTCCCACCCGGCCAACAGCCTGTGGACAGCAGACAAAACTTGAGATCAAAGTTCCAGGGAGCATTTAAGAAGGGCATTGGTAACCCCATGGACCGACTGGAAACTACCATCTATGAGTCTAATGTGGTTCCGGGACCTAAGAAAGCTCCTATGGATTCACTGTTTGACTATGGAACCTACAGAAATCCAAATGACCAGAAAAAACGTAGGAAAAAGCTCCCAAGAGGGTATAGATGTTGTTTGTTTCTACAAATGAATAAATATTCATTATTAATCATTTGTATTACCGCTGCAGAAGTAGATAAGAGGAAGTTTTTCTTTTCAGATAATTCAAACCATTACTGTACTACTAAAACCAATAAACCATTTGGAGATAAAGCATAAATACTTGAAAAGCTGGACAATTTTTATTGTTCAAAAATTACATACACATAGTTTACATATGATCTGTAACCTGATCTGGTGCTATCATCTGCTTGTCTCCATGGAGACAGATAACTTTTATTTCATACTGTGGAACATTCTAGCCAAAGCAATAACATCTCCATAGATACATTGATTGCAGGCGGGGGACCCCCACCGGAAAGGGTACATTGAGTACCTTTAAATATGCAATAGAAGTACTGTACTGTAGTAATACTGACCTTTGTAAAATTGCACCTTGTTTAGGAGTTCTTTAAGAGTATTAGAGATGGAAAAATGTCATCATAACAATCTCCACAACTGCCACTTTGTAGACTAAGGTGTGTCTGTTAGACAAACAGACAAACTTTCCTCCAGTCAGTGATCCAACAGAGGCCATGTTGTTGGTTTCAAACGGTTGAGGTAATATTTGGGCCCCTGCGTGTTAGGTACTATGCCAGAGTCATACAGAGGGGTCATTATGGAGCTAGTAGAAGAGTTTGTGTATGTACACATGAATGAATGATAAATTGACCTTGTGTCCACAGTAAAGCTGAGGTTTCCTGTGATGATGGTGCTGGTGCTGATACCCCTAAAGTAGTGAAAATCTTCAACCGCACTCTACTGTTTGAGTGTGTGTCACGTGGGGACCCTCAGTCTCTAGAGGGCCTCCTGGAGTTCCTGCAAACTCATGAAAAGAGGCTGACCGATGAGGAGTTTAGAGGTGGGTCTGTCAACGTGAAATTATTGGCCATTGTGTAGTCAACTACTGCTATTTTTGTCTTTCACAGTGTCTTTGCAAATAGCCAGCCTGTATGATATAGAGTATGACTTTTTGCATTGTCCGTTTGCATGTCTCAAAGGATATGGCGAGGAAAAGGTGGAGTATAGACTTTTTGACTATGTAAGTTAAGTCACTGGGAAAGTTTCCTTTGTGTGCCTGAGTGAGAAGTCTCTACAACATCACACACCGCAGAGAAAAATCGCAGCAAACTGTTGTTAACCCACCACCCCTTTTCAAAAGTACACACTCACTAAAGTGGACACTGGTGGTTCAGAATACTACAAATATTCTCAAATATACTATATCTCTTTTTGTTCAGAGCCATCAACAGGTAAGACGTGCCTGCCCAAAGCCCTGCTGAACCTGTACGGTGGACAAAATGACACCATCCCTCTGCTGGTGGACATTGCTGAGAAGACTGGAAACCTACGAGAATTTATCAACACACCATTTAGAGATGTTTACTACAGAGGTACAACAATGCTGTCATTCTTGCAGGAAGAAAGATAAGTTTGAGTTATTCTCACTAAAACTGAGGTAGCAAAAGAACTTAACAGATTGTTGTATTTCACTCTGCCTCTAGGCCAAACTGCTTTGCACATTGCGATAGAGCGCCGCTGTAAACCGTATGTGGAGCTCCTGGTGGAGCAGGGGGCAGATGTCCATGCTCAGGCACGGGGGCGCTTCTTCCAGCCCAGAGACGAGGGTGGTTATTTCTACTTTGGTAAAGACAAACTGTTAACATGCGGGTTTGGGTTTAGAGCATTTCTTTACCTGTAGCTTGTCTTAAAGCCCTTCATAAAGTACTGCAAACAGCTCAGTTATTCAGTTAACAGAACTTTTTCCTGGAGCACAACTTTCCATAACATAATATGTTGAGGTGGGGTGACATTGAGTGGCCCGCCCTGTTTTCCTGGTGTGGGATTAGACTGGACAATATAAGT